AAAGTCATCAAACACAAGTTACCGATTATTATAGCTCATCAGAACCATGTCCAGTTAAAAGACAAGAGTTATTAGCAAGAAAATTAATTCAATTTATTATTTATTTTGTTTTGCCTCTTTACATTTTACAAAACTGATTTTTTTGTGAATTTATTATTTATACATGCAAGCCAGGATTTCATATCCCATGTGGCCATGTGATAAAACCACCAAGGGACTAATTCATGAAGCATATGAATGGAGTTACAATCAGCTTAGCACCTTACTTTGTAGTAATGTAACGAATATTCATCTTACTACTGATCTATAGACAGCAAAATCTCGTCACAGCTACTTAGGTGTTATGGCAACTTGGCTGATCTCCAATTTTGAGTTTCAAGAAGCCCTTTTTTCTTGTAATCATCTTCTATACCCACATACAGGAAAGGTGATTAGCGAAGAGTTATTTAAAATAATTGGTGTTTGGCGACTTGAGACAATGGTTTTTACTATTGCCACGGACAATGGAGCTAATATGGTCAAGAAAATATGATTGTTAAATACAAATCATATTAGCAACCTTGTGCTGCACACACGTTACAATTATCAGTTTAAGAAGGATTGAAGCAATATAAAGTAAAGCTCTGAACGGTTCAGGCTAAACCGGGGAAATGATCCAAAACCGACTCAAAATTCAGTTCAGTTTGGTTCGGGTATTAGAACCGAAAACCGGCGGTTCAGTTCAGTTTAATCCGATTTTTTATAAAAATGCGAAAAATAAATAGCCGTCCATATAGTGATCATACAAAGTCAAGCCATATATCATTGGATTTGTCTTGACGAGACGCGTCGAATGGTGGTAAGATCATGTCTCTAGCATCTATAGATCACACGTTAACCCACGATAAATGATTTATAAATATTTGAAATTAGCAAGCTATCTATCAGTGCTAGAGACATGATCTTAGTACCATTTGACGCGTCTCAGTGAGACAAATCCAATAAATATAAATTCGTTCGTGTACGACCACTGGATAGTGAATAATATCAAGTTTCGCATTTTTTTTGAAATTTTCGAGCATTAAAAATTAGAAATTCCGATACATGAATTTATTCGTCGTCCAATGGTCGTACAAATATGAATTAGGACTCATTGGATTCGTCTCGATGAGACGCGTTGAATAGTGCTAAGATCATATCTCTAGCACTGATAGATAGCTTGCTAATGCTAATTTTTTATAAATCATTTAGCGTGAATTAACTTACGATCTATTGATGCTAGAGACATGATCATACCACCATTCGACTCGTCGCATCGAGACGAATCCAATGAGTCCTAATTCATATTTGTACGACCATTGGACGACGAATAAATTTATGTATCGGAATTTCTAATTTTTAATGCTATAAAATTTCAAAAAAATGCAAAACTTGATATTATTCGTCATCCAGTGGTCGTACACGAACAAATTTATATTCATTGGATTTGTCTCACTGAGACGCGTCGAATGGTGCTAAGATAATGTCTCTAGCACTGATAGATAGCTTGCTAATTCCAAATATTTATAATTCATTTAGCATGGGTTAATGTGTGATATATCGATGCTAGAGACATGAACTTACCACCATTCGACGCGTCTCATCGAGACGAATCCAATTAGATATGGCTCAACTTTGTACGATCACTAGATGGACGGCCATTCGATTTTTCGCATTTTTATAAAAATCGGATTAAACTGAACTGAACTGCCAGTTTTTCGGTTCAGTTTTTATGGATTTTGGCTCTAATCTGAACCGTCTATAATCCAGACCAAACCAACCCGTTCAGAGCTTTAATATAAAGCCATACATCACTGTGTTAAAGTTTGCTGGTTTTTTTCTGACTTCCTAAGCAAGCTTAACATTTACACAAAGCACAAAAAGCGCAAAATGAATCTAATCAAGCTGAAAGAGATGTCCAAAGTTCTATTGACCTTTTAACAGATATAAAAATGAGATGGAACTCCACCTATCTAGCTTGGAAATGTCTCTTGAAATTACATAATTCAATAAGATTTGTTTCAACTTCATTACTTTCCAAATCGGATCGTGCCTCCCAAAAAGAAGGTGAAAAATTAGAACATCTGTGCTTATTGGTTGGAAAAAAAGAGTAATGTTTTTTTTTATTATTTAATTAGTTCTATTAGTTTAAAGTTTAAATAAGAAAAAAACATATATATATTTTCTATTTATTAATCAATTATCATTTTTATTTATTTACATTGTAGATTTTTGCAAGAAGTTGTAAAATTGTTGGAACTGATCAAATTGTAACTAGGCATTTGTGTGGTGCCAACTATCTAACACTTAATCTCATTCACCTATACATAGAATCACTTAAAAAAAAATTTGCTCCAAGATCAGACAAAAATGAAACAGTTATACCTAATATCTGAATCTTGTCTATAGTGAAAGATATGAAGAAAATGATGATGACAAAATAACCTATGATGATATACCTGATGCTGGCACCTATCAACAATAGCAATATGCACACCACCAATTTCATCAAAGGATGAGTGCCTGTGGTCGAGAAAAGAGATGAAACCAACAGGAATCTAGCAGGAAACGAACACAAACTGAAAGTGTTGCAGAAGATACAAACAAGGTGGAAGATTTACCACTGATTAATAAAACAAATTTGCTTGAAAAAGTCTGAGCTGCAATATACTTGTCATTAGATGAATTATAGGCTATTCCAACAGATACTACTTTGATTGTTACATTTCTCAACCCCCGATTTAAATATTTCAAGTGGTCAACTAATAGTGAACGAGATAGGGCGAATCAATTGGTAAAAAAGTTATACGATGAACTGAAAATAAACCTTCACGTTTCAGATGACATTGAATATAGGAGTCTTGAAAAGAACAATGATGATAATGATAATCTGTTTAGCGATCTAGAAGGAAATTTCACACAAACAAACATAGAAGAAGAAGATGAAGTATCATGTTATGTAAAGTTAAAAGATATTAGGGTCAAGAATGACCCTTTAATGTGGTGGTTAAATCATAGGAATAGTTTTCCTACCTTAGTGCAACTTGCAAGGAAATATCTTTCAATTCCAGCGACTTCAGTGCTTAGCAAATGATTGTTTTCAGATGCTGCTGGTAACCATTTTTCAATCTTATATTTCATTTATTATTTTGTAGTTTTATTTAATTAAAAATAATGCACTGTTCAAAAATAAGTATAGTAATGTTATGTACTTCTTGTTTTCTATAATAAATAAAATTTTGTCATTATTTCATATTGAAAAATAGACAATATTAATAGATTCAATAATAACTAAAAATTCAGTTGAGTAACTGGCTTTATTACCTTAGTAAAAGTTATTTATTTTGTAAATTATGGCTAAAAGTAATATGTTCATAAAACACAGGGTTTAACCTTATATAAAGTATCCTTATTCTTAGATAATCAAATATTCTCAGCAGGTCAAGCATATGTCATATTAAGTAGGTGCCCAAACTGGTCAAACATTTATATTGCAGCTTTAAATCCTTCTACATTTATTACAGATCAATCAATGATAAAAGAATATGAGTGACTAGAACAAATATCATCCACTCCATTACCTTTGTAAATGAATTTAATCATTATTTTAATAAAAATTGATAACACCAAATTAAAACTACTATATAATTAATACTCCATGTTATTTTTGTACCAAAATATATACAAACCCTATTTTTCAAAATTTCCTTTCTTACAAAGGTTAAAATCGCTAAAAATCCATAAAATTTTTTTTTTTCTAGGGTGACCAAGTCACGCCCAGACCCCCTTCTTAGCCTTTTTTTTTTTNCCCTATTTTTCAAAATTTCCTTTCTTACAAAGGTTAAAATCGCTAAAAATCCATAAAATTTTTTTTTTTCTAGGGTGACCAAGTCACGTCACGCCCAGACCCCCTTCTTAGCCTTTTTTTTTTTATCATATTTTATTTTTCACTTTTTTATTTTATTTATTTTATTCTTATTTTATCTTCTTTCATTTCACTTTTGATTTTATTATCATTGTTATATATTTTAATTAAACAAATAACAATTGCCATTAAATTATTGATAAATTATTAGCATTACTGACAAGGTTATCCAGGGATGGAGTCCCTGGTGTTAGACGCATTTCTAGTTTTGTCATTTAAAACCAGTTTATAAATCATATCACATTATTTGTTATCACAAATTTTTTTTATTCATTTTGCTTTAAATATTTTATAATTTGAATAATTTGCTTTTACAGAATTATCTTATCTTTGACGCTGTGCTACATTTTTCATCTGATGTTAATAGTTATTTATAAAAAAAATTATAAGACAATCTCATTATCTCCTATTGAAAAGTTCATTACCTGAAATACATCAGTTATTATCTGATATAAATTGATATATATCTGAGACAAAAATATGTTTCTTTGTATAACACTTAAATTAAGAAATAATCAAACAAAAAATTTTAAGAATTCATTTAGTTCAAATTTTGTTAGTTGGAAACAATACAAAATAAATTCATATTATATTGCAAAATCAATATTTTGACTTTGCAATTATCATGTATATTAGTTTATAACTACTAAAATAATTCTTTATTTGATTTATTAAAATAAATGCTTGTATACTTTGTTTTTAAACATTATAATTACAATTTGTTCTATTATAATTTACTATTATTAAGTTAAGTAGTCAATCAAAATCAAGAATAATATACAATTTATATAACCTGGTTAATTAGCTATTTTACAATAATAATAATTAAATTTTAAATTTTATTTGGTAAAATAAAATGTATTATATTTCAGATTATTATCAAACTTTTTATTATATTATATATTATTAGATATAATTTAATAGTCAAAACTCTATATATTTGCTAAAAATAATAATTTAGAATTTATTTAAATATAAAATAACATACATGAAAACTATAGATAATAATTATAATTTGTTAAACTAATTTATTTGATTTATAGAAAGAAAATAAAACTTATTCAATATTATTTTCATCATCTTGATTAATTTCATTAAGATCTATATTAAAACAAATAAATAAATACTAAATAAATAACATTAAAAAAACAGAGTAAATATCTTACCCGATTCATCTAATTGACAATCAAAACCTTCTGAAACTATTAATAAATAAACATAATAATAAAAAAATATGAATATCATTAATTATATTAATTACCAATAAAACGATTACTTACATAATGTTGATTGAATAGCATCTATTAAAAAAACAAATAATTAGCAATGTAAATATATTTTTGTTATTAAAGTAAATTAGATTACCTGAATTTACTGGTTCTGGAAGGTTTTTGAAACTCAAAAGTCTACTAGTATAGATTGCTTGTGGATGTGTTTGAATGTTTTTAGATCTTTTTTCACTTGTTCTGTTTAAATTGATTTTATTATTATATTCAATTACTTGAAATTTGGTATCACTATCATCATCAATATAAATTTCAACAAGTTCTTGATATAATTCTTTAGTGGTTGGTCTATTTTCTGTTTTAGCATCCCAACATTTAGTAATCAAATTTGCAAGTAATTTTGGTGTATATTTAAAAATATTTGGTCTAAGTCCTTTACATATTTTAATAGCTAAAGCATAATCATGAGGAATATTATTATAAGGAGTTTCTTCAAATATATATTCATTCATCATTATTCCAAATGAATAAATATCAGATGCTTTTGTATATTGATATCCACGTAAAACTTCTGGTGCCATATAAGGTAATACTCCATAAATTTCTTCTTGTTTATTTGATTGCTTTTTATTATTTGCTGGTTGACACATTCCTAAATCACTTATATATGGAGCTGGATTAAATAATATATTACCTGAATGAAAATCTTTATGAACCTTTCCAGCATTGTGAATATCTAGAAGTCCACTTGCAATTTGTTGTAATTTATTAATTTTTGAATAATATCCTAATTCTTTATTCGTATAGTAATTTCTCAAATTTCCATCTTCACAGTATAGTAAAACCATCATATAATCTTTAGTATTTGGATCTTGAGTTATTCCATAACATTTAATAACATCATAAAGATAAATCTGAAGATGAGATTTAATCTAATAAAAATAATGAAAGTAAAAAATTTTTAATAAATATATAAATAATACATAAATAGTATATAGATTACATTAACTAATTTAATTACCTCATTTAAAAATTCTGTACTTAAACAAGAAGAATTATCTAACCTTTTTAATGCAACTTTTATGCTAGTTCTACTCCATTTTTGATTTTCAATATCCCAATATTGAATAAATCCTTCAGGCCATTCAGCTGAATAGATTTTACCAAATCCACCTCTGGTAATATAAGTCATATCTTTAAAATTTTCAAAAGGTATCCATTCAAGTTTTTTACTAAAGTATACAGCATTAAGTTGTGATTGTTGTATAAATTCATCAATATCTTTATTTCCACTAGTCCAATTTTTAAAATTATCCTTAAATCTTTTGGCATTACAAAGTTGGCACCAATTTTCTCCTGTGCCAGGTTCATTACATTCTCCACATATTCCATATACTTGTTTTCTTTTTTCTAAATCTTCCATATAAACTATTTTATCATCTGCCTCTTTTGATGATTCAGTAGTTAAACCAATAGTAGAAATTGTAACATGTTTCTTTTAAAATAAATGATTAAAAAAACTGTTATCATCCAAATTATAAAATTCAATAATGTAATGTTATTAATAATAAAATGAATTGTTTTACTTGATATTTATATATATCAACATCTTTCCATAAATCTTTTTTATTTTCTGTAGGATTGATTTTTGATAATTCCATTCTAAATTAATTTCTATTGTACTAAAAATATATATGTTGCAATTTATTTATTTAAATTTAAAGACAACATTAACCATATAATAGAATGAAAAGTAAATTTTTTTTTTTTTTGAAAAAAAAAAAAAATTAACGGATTTCGGATAAATTTATTCACAAAATAAACTCTTGTGCAACATGTGTGACATTAAGTAAGTTGACTAAGAAAGTATAACCTAATGATAAAAATAAAACACAATGCGCCAACTGCGCCGTGCTACAAATGATCGGCGTAATAAAAAGGAAATTTTCAATAAGCAATTGGCCAAATAAATTTATGCTCCAATAATATTAAATTAACTAAATTGTACTAAAATATTTGAGTTTTATTTCAACCATGTGACACAGGTTACACTACCTTTACAATTGGTCATCTATCATGTAAAAAATTGCTCTATTTATGGTAGTGAAATTTATAATGATAATTATTACAAGACTTTCTCCTTAAATACTTTTACCGATTCAGCATGTATTGATTATATATATTATATAGGGTTTGAACTCAATCTATATAAAATAAATGACTTGATTTGTAATTAAGTAGTAATATGTTTATTTTTTCAAGTACTATTTTGTTCGTTGTAAAAAAACAGATAAATTGTAAGAAATTTTATATTTAAAACCAGTTTGTAAAATCATATTCAAATTATCAGTTATCACGAATTTTTTTTTTATTCATTTTGCTTTAAATATTTTATAATTTTATTGTGGTAATCAATAATTTGACTTTCAAAGAATTATCTTATCCTTGATGGTGCACCACATTTTCATTTGACGTTAAATTTATCTTTAAAAAAAATTATAAGACATCTCATCATATCTATTAAAATTCTCATTACCTTTACATACGTCAGTTATTATCTGATATAAATTGATATGAGACAAAAATATATTTCATTGTATAATACTTAAATCAAGGAATAATTAAACAAAAATTTTAAGAATTCATTTAGTTTAAATTTAGTTAGTTTGAAACAATACAAATAAATTCATATCATATTGCAAATCAATATTTTGGTTTTGCAATTATCATGTACATTAGTTTATAACTACTAAAATAATTCGTTATTTGATTTATTAAAATAAATGCTTGTATACTTTGTTTTTAAACATGATAATTACATTTTGTTTCCATTATAATTTACTATTAACAAGTTGGTGGAATTAATAAAGAAGTCAATCAAAATCAAGAATGATATACAATTTATATAACCTGGTTAATTAGCTATATTACAATAATAGTTAAATTTTATTTGGTAAAATATAATGTATTATATTTCAGATTATTATCAAACTTTTTTATTATATTCTATATTATTAGATATAATTTAATAGTCAAAACCTCTATATATTTGCTTAAAATAACAATTTAGAATTTATAAACTATAGGTAATAATTATAAATTTGTTAAACTAATTAATTTGATTTTATAGAAAGAAAATAAAACTTATTCAATATTATTTTCATCATCATGATTAATTTCATTAACAAATAAACAAATAAATAAATAAATAACATTAATAAAATAAAAAAAAAACAGAGTAAATATCTTACCCAATTCATCTAATTGGCAATCAAGACCTTCTGAAACTATTAAAAATAATTATAATATTAAAAAAAATATGAATATCACTGATTATGTTAATTACCAATAAATATAATTACTTACATAATGTTGACTGAATAGCATCTATTAAAAAATCAAATAATTAGTAATGTAATATATCTTTTTTTATTATTAAAATAAATTATATTACCTGAATTTCTCTATTAAGAAGTTCAATTCTAAAATCAAATGAGATTGTATTAGTAATATTTTACAAAAAAAATTAAATAATTTCATATAATTGCTAAAAAAAATAACGATAAAATTTTTCATAAAATTAAAATTTTATTAAATCACGTGATAGGTTCGTCAAGTAAATAACGCCCATTAAGCAGAAATAGAAATGTTATTACCAAGTGTCTACATGATTATGAAATCAATAATGCCAATAAAATCAATAAAGTCCTTAACAATTTTTGGTTAATTTGATATTTATTGTGGTTATCACCTATAAACCGCACTAATATTATGTGTCTTCAAACTTTTATAATTCACTTTGCAAATGATAGAACAACATTAAATGTACATTTCTATTTTTTTTTATTATTTTATTTATTTGGTTTTATTCACGATTTTACTTTTATGCCGATCAATAGCGTAACAAGGTATTTTATTTTTATCATCAGATTACTATATATAGAATTTTTGTACCAAATTTTTGAATGTTACAGAATAAATTTTTTCCGACTCCGTAATTTTAAAAAAAATTTTTTATGTTTCATTTATTATATGGTTAACGTTATCTTAGACTTCTCTAAGTAAATTGTAATCTACATATAATGTTCCAAAAAAAATCCGATCTGATTCGTATCCGCGGATCTGATCCGAGACAGATCGGATCGAATCATAGATTTTATGATCCGTGATCCGATCCGGATCAAAAAAATTTGATCCGATTCAGATCGAATCAAATCAGATCAACAATTCATTCAAATAGGATCAGATCAGATTTGATTCGAGCGGATTCGGATCGGATCCGGATCAGATCAGATCAAAGCGCCCTGTTACGTTGCGAAATGTTAAGTTAAAAAACGTTTCGCAACGTTTTTATTAAAATGATTAAAAATCGTTGCGAAATGGTTTTTTTATTCGTTAAATTGAAATAAAAAAATGTTTCGCAACATTTTTTTATTAAAATGATTAAAAACCGTTGCGAAACGGTTTTTATTCGTTAAAATGAAATAAAAAAACGTTTTGCAACATTTTTTTATTAAATAATTAAAAACCGTTGCGAAACGGTTTTTTTTTTATAAAATAATACGAAAAGATGCCGTTTCGGCATCTTTTTTGATAAAAAAAATGAAAAAGATGCCGAAACAGCATCTTTTTTGATAAAATAATACGAAAAGATGCCGTTTCGGCATCTTTTTTGATAAAAAAATGAAAAAGATGCCGAAACAGCATCTTTTTATAAAATAATACTAAAGATGTTATTTCAGCATCTTTTTTATAAAATAATACGAAAGATGCTGTTTCAGCATCTTTTTCTCATAAAATAATACGAAAAGATGCCGTTTCGGCATCTTTTTTGATAAAAAAATGAAAAAGATGCCGAACAGTATCTTTTTTTCATAAAATAATATTAAAAGATGCCGAAGCATCTTTTTTGATAAAATAATATTAAAAGATGCCGAAGCATCTTTTTTGATAAAATAATATTAAAAGATGCGTTTCAGCATTTTTTTTATAAAATAATACGAAAAGATGCCATTTCGGCATCTTTTTTTATAAAATAATACGAAAGATGCCATTTCAGCATCTTTTTCTCATAAAATAATATGAAAAGATGCCGAAATGGCATCTTTTTTGATAAAAAAAATGAGTAAGATGCCGAAATGGCATTTTTTTTCATAAAATAATACAAAAGATGCCATTTCGGCATTTTTTTTGATAAAAAAATGAAAAAGATGCCGAACAGCATCTTTTTTCATAAAATAATATTAAAAGATGCCGTTTTGGCATCTTTTTTGATAAAAAAAAATGAAAAAGATGCCAAAGCATCTTTTTTGATAAAATAATATTAAAAGATGCGTTTTGGCATCTTTTTTTCATAAAATAATACAAAAAGATGCCGTTTTGGCATTTTTTTTTGATAAAATAATACGAAAAGATGCCGTTTTGGCATCTTTTTTACATAAAATATTATGAAAAGATGCCGTTTTGATATCTTTTTTGATAAAATAATACGAAAGATACCAAAACGGCACTTTATTTGAAAAAAAATGAAAAAGATGCCGAAACGGCATCTTTTTTCATAAAATAACGCCGTTTAACATTTCTATTTATGCATTTAACAAAAAAAACGTCTTTCGCAATGTTTTTTAATTGTATTAATGAGAAACGTTGCGAAACGTTTTTTATTTGATAATTTAACGAAATAAAAGCATTTTTTGCAGCGGGTTTTAACTATATAAATAAAAAACGTTGCGAAAATGTTTTTTATTTAATAATTTTACCGATAAAAAATCGTTTTCGCAATTGTTTAATAAAAATGTTGCGAAACGTTTTTTTGTTTGATAATTTGCCATAAAAAGTCATTTCGCAACGTCTTTTAACAATATTAATAAAAAAACGTTGCGAAAAACGTTTTTAATTATGAAAACCGATTCAGATCCGGATCGGATCCGGATCGGATCAGATCAAATCAGTTGGGATTCAGATCGGATCGGATCGAATCTAATTCAGATTCGGATCGGATCGGATCGAATCTAATTTGGATCCGAATCGGATCGGATCGAATCTGATTTAATTTGATTCGAATTCGGATCAGATCAGATTTAACTCAAATCCGGTCTGATCCGATCCGTTCGGAACACTATCTACATATATACAATCCAAATTAATTTAGTATGGAATTATCAAAAATGAATCCTAAAGAAAATAAAGAAATTTCGAAAATATTGTAAATTTATTTTATTCATATTACAAAAATATTTACTACATTATATTAGTTTAAGTTTAAATTTCAATATATATTAAAAATATTATAGCATTATTTTATTAATATTACAAACATATTACGTATATTAAAATATGTAGAACATATATATACCATCTGTTAGTAACATGCACAGGTCAAAATGCTAAAAATCGGCAAAAAAAATGGCGCGAAAAGCAGTGGCTATTCTTGGCTATTCTTAGCTATTCTTGGCTGTTTTTGGCTATTTGCGAATTAACCTATACTATTTGTAAATAGTTTATATAAATTTGCGAATAGTTTATGCAATTCTAACCATTTTTTTTGCCTGTTTTTGGTCATTTGACTTGTGATGTAGTGATTATGTATAACATATTTTGTGAAAACCAGAGGTTTCTGCAAAGTAGAAGACTAATAAGTTCTATTAATTACACTGTTAGT